GAGATAAACACCCTGCTCAGGTGGATACCCAGCAAATAGCTGCGCCTTCGCCCTCTGCCACACCTTGTGGACGGGGACATACCTTCCTGCACATGCACGAGGAAGCACTGAAGTGGCTTTGTGGTTTTTGCTGTGGCCCAAGGACTCTGTTGAACTTTAAGATATATTTGTCTATGCATACAAGAACTAGGGTACAGGTCAGAGGTGCAGGGGGAGTGAGAGCGTTCACCGGAGACGGAGTGGGGAGCAGAACAGTAGATCTACTGAAATACACTGCTGAGAAAAGCAGCAGGCGAGGCAGGAGAGGCCTGCTGCACTGTGTGTGCCACCTTCCTGGCCGGGGATTGAACTCGTGCTGCCATGGTTGCAGCCAGCCTCACAGTGCTGCGCCTTAACCTGTTGCACCACCAGGGAGGGCCCAGACGTGGTTAACTTTGTGATGACCATGTAGTTATGGGCTAGCTCAGGCTGAACACCTCTCCATACCTGGGACTCACAACCGATTGTTACGTCTCTGATACTTTGCACCTACTGCCGTAGGTGTGGACAAAATGGAGGTCCCTCAGAAGGACCCCCAGGTGGCAGGAAAGCCCTATCCTTGTCATACCGCTGGGTGGTCCCCAGTCTCCATTCCTACCCTGATCCATCTGCCTTCCCTGGTCCTCTCCCCATTGGCAGCTCCACCCCCCACTGGGAGGGGGGGCACCAACATTTCACCACCTTCCTGCCTGTGTCTGGAAGGAGGCAGATGGTGCCAGGGTCCCCTTTGTGTCATCTGACTGGCCCCCCAACACCCAGACCTGCCTTCTCTCACTGTCCTCGCCCATCTGGTACAAGGCAGCTATTACAGGCTGAAATTTGGGACTAACTGTCCCAGGTCTTTGCTCATCACTGGGCTGCACCAACAGGTCAAGATGACTGGACTACTGTGGCCATCAGGTGGGATGACGTGGGGATTATGATAAAGCTGGCCAGTTCCTCCCCTGCCCTTCCTGACGTGGAGGAAGACCAATGATCCAAATGAGTAGAAGCAAATCCCAGCTCACCCTGAGTTAACCTCTTTCAGCCTCAGCTTATCACCTGAAAATAGGGGATAATTACTTCCTTGTCAAGAGGTTAAGAGGACTTGGATAAAATTATATCCAAGTGACTAATATGGCATCTAGCACATAGAAGCAAAACAAAAGATAGCACCACTTAAATCATTATTCTGCTCAAGAAATGTCTGCTCTCCTTAAAGCAGCCCATGTCTCCTGCTCCTGGAACCTTCCTTGATCTCCCCTTAGCACTCATGGCTTCCACCTGTGGATACCCAGTCCTGGTGCCCTTCTAGGAGAGTGCTTTGATTTACTGAGCAGAATGTGTGCGTGCGTGTCTTGCATGTGTGTGCTGTTGAGTCCAGGTGCAAGCCATACGATGATGAACATGACGAGGTTCATATTCTTGTGAAACTTCCATGAGATATGAGACACTGGGACACACAGTGTGTGTGTCAATCAGTGGATAATTTCATAGCACTAAGAAAAATGAGGAAACATGGCGGAGAAACTGAGGCAGGGGAAGGTCTCAAGGAGCAGAGGTATTCAAGCTTTGGTTCTGGACGACAAAAGAGCAGCCCTACAAAAATCACTAAACACGCAGACAGAGCAGCGAGTGCCAAGGGCCAGAGGCAGGGGAACACGTGTGGCATCTGGGGACAGAACTACCCAGGTCACTAGAGCACAGGGAGCACTGAGCACACGAGTGATGCCCAAGTCTCTGCCCCTAGATGGAGCCACTTGACAGCAGAGGTCTCATTATTGGGTTCACAGCACAGGACAGACCTGGGGCTCTGAACCATTTTAAAACTCCCATTTTGGTGACACTGAGACAGCTGGCACATCTGCAGTCCCATTCACATCTTGGAAGACCCCCCCATCAGGCAGAAGCTTCCCGCCCCCCCCCCCCCACCCTCTGGAGCAGAACTGTTGATAGAGGGAAGCCGGAGTGCTGCCCAGAGAGCCTGAGTGACATACCCAAGGTCACACAGCAAGGAGCAGTGGAAATGCTCTGCTCCACCACTTCTCCAGCCACAGGTCTTCCGTCCCTGCACCCCACTCACCCTCTCCCTCTCTGAGGTGTAGTGCGAAGAGCTCAAGGACCCTGAGAGAGAACCAGCAAGAGGAAGGCCTTGTCCAGTCTCTCCTCTCCTGCCACCAACCCAAACAGCAAGGTCCCACAAGTTCCTTTCTTCCAGAGCCTATCTGATGTCAGGCAGCCTGAACTTGAATCTTCCCGTTCTGGAGATGGATGAAGTTGGCTTGAACTGAAAGGCGAGGGGGCTGAAGACCAGGCCCTGAAGAGCAGCACAAAGAGCCCCGAGCTCCCAGTGCAGCACTGTCACTGTACCCACAGCCCTATTCTCCAGGGCTGCCAGGCCAAAGCCATTTTCATCACTAGCAGGCCAGCCACAGGGCATTATCTACCTGCATTTCAGGGCTGGATATGGGCCTTTCATCACAAACCTGACCTAAAAGAAGGAGCCCTGACCCTGGGAGACATCCACAGAACTCTCCTGATCCAGTCACCCTCCAGGTGCCAACCTATTTCACTGGAAAAGTTTTATTGAAAAAAAATTACACAAATAAGTTCTTGGTTTGACAGCAACAAAGGTTCATTTCCCCCTCCCCTCCCCCGCTTTGAAAACGTGTAAAAAGGGGGGGGGGATGTTCATCCCTACAATGACTAACGCAATGCTTCTTGAATCTGCTTAAGAGACCACCAGAAGTTATTTAGTTGTTTCCTGACCCCCCACTGGGGCCAGGGCCATTATGGGAGTGCCAGTCCCAGGGGCCAAGCACAGTTGAGGGACATCCGGAGAAGGCTGGGGGGAGGAAGGGAACGGAGTGTCGGTAGTGTCAGGAAAAGAGGCCCCGTTTCACGAGGGCTGGGCTGAGCCCGCCCGCTAGACGTCTCCCAGAGGAGCGAGTACTTGGCTATAAATATGAACACTGACTGAGGCAGGCTGGATCCCAGGGCTTGGAGAGCAGGCGCTGACACAGCCCAGGTCCCACAGGCTGTGGGCTCTGGGTTCAGCACCGTGCTCTCTGGAGGCCGTGTCCAGGCCGGAAAGGCCTCTTGCCATAGGAAGCCTGCAGTTTTCCCACCCTCACCCCGTGGAATATCCAAGGTCAGTACCTCAGTCCCCCCACCCCCATAGCACCCATGTGTCACAGGAGCCTTCGCCTGCCTCCTGCCAACCCATGTCCACCCTGGGCCTACAACTCATCTCTCATCTTGTCACCCTTGGGCCGGACCAGGCGCCCAATGAACAGTAGGGAGCCACTCTGGGTGTCTCGAACCAGGAAGATGAAGGGGTGGTCGGCGTAAAAGAGCTTGGGGCTGCGCAGCTCCTCACGCCCGTAGATGTCCTGGTCAAAGGGGTTACCCTCTGTGTCCCACTCGAAGGCGGTGGCGTGGAACACGCTGGCCAGGTAGAGGTCCTTCTTGCCTGACATGCGTGACAGGTCTGCTTTGTTCTTGTCAATGGCCTCCGTCAGACCCAGTCCGGCCAAGTGTTTCTGTGGGACAAGGTGGTGCCAGGTGAGGCTGGACCTGGTTCCCCGGCCCTCACCCTCCACCCACACCACCGCCTGTTGTCCTGGAAGCAAGACCACCACGGCCAGGCTGCTTCTGTGGCTTCTGTGTGCCCCTAGTGACAAGGACACGTCACTCCACTGCTTTCAAGAATGTCACAACCGCCCTACAAGAGCTTCTTGTTGTCACTTCACAGAGGAGGAAACTGAAACTCGGGGAAAAGGCAGAATTGCTCCCTGGCACTGCCAGTGCTTCTCCAAGTGTAGACATGGAGAGCTGCCCCCCAGCACGACCTGGCACTTGGGGGAAATGCACATGCCCCATCCCAGCCCCAGCTCACAGGAGTCAAACCACTGGGGCCAGGCCTGGGAACTTTTTAAACAAACTCTCCAGGTAATTCTTAGCACATTCAAATTTGAGAAAGACTAATCTAAGAACAATTCCATCCACATCACTTGGGAAACCTTTCTGGAGCAGTAGGATGTCTGGGATTTGCTCCAAAATAATTTGATGGAGGGGAAAGATGTATGTAGGTGAATCTTTACTGGCCATAAAGATGATGGTTGAGGTTAGGTGTGAGTATATGAGGACTCATCCGCCATACTCTGTATTTACTGTATTCTGTACATTTCCAGAGTAGAATGTTAAAACACAGTGTATTATACAGACACTCTTTCTATAGATAGCTCTGCACCGCCCTGGAAGCCAGTGCAAACACTTCCGTGTGTGACCTGTGCTGACGTGCAGCTGTGCCCCTCAGCCGCACCCCCTGCTCCCTACTACAACCTCAACAGCATCTCCCTGACTATCCTCTCTCCCTTTAGGGCCTTAGATACCACATCTCCCAGGAAGCCTTGCCTAGCCCACATCTCTGGGACACCCTCTGGGCTTCTGTACCAGTATCTGGACCTGTCTGTCTCTCCCACCTACCTCAACCCCACCCCAACCCCCAATTCAAGTTAGGGCCATGTCCCTGGCTCTTCCTGTGCAAGAAACAGCAGTAAAGGGCTGTTGGCTGAGTGAACAGCAGCTTCTGGAGCTCAGGCTTTTGCAAAACAAATAAGCACTAGACACAGGGGCCTGAGACAGGCAGTCTAGGCCCAACTATTCAAGCACTTACTTCACCTTTCCCAACTCAGTCTGCCTCAAGGACTGATGGGAAGCGTGTCCACCAGGCTTCCGGGAGAAAAAAGGGCAGACCAGTCTCTGCAGAGGGGGCTGGGCAGGCCCAGGAGAGAGAGACAGGGACAGCTTCTCCCCAGAAACCCTCAGGGCCATCTATGGGAAAACCATTTAAGAGTCACTATCTCTGGGTAGGCGCCTAGGCCAATTTCTTCTTGGGTTTTATTGCTCCACACTCCCACAACAAGTGTGAATCCACCCTGCCAGAGGCCCACCAGAGGACCATGTCTTGCGTCTAAGATTAGATCCAGGTGATAGACAGTTTTCCTATTCCAGTTGGTCAAAAATCTCTCCTGGCAAAAAGGCCACCGTGAGTGTTCATGTTGGGCCCTAACTGTGGCTCTGCTACTTAACAGCCGGGGGGGGGGGGTGTCTGAGTGAGAGCCGCTGCTTCTGAGTCACCCAAGCTGGCGGTGAGGGGCAATAGGTGGAGCTGGTAGATTCAGCTTCTGACCATCTAAGTTACTAACGGCTGAGATCATTTTGTTTTCGTATAGCCAGGGGCATTGGAACAGTGTGTGACTGCAGCCAGCATGGGATTAAGGGCACAGTTTAGTGCTAAATGCTTGAGCAACTGGTTATGCGATTTGGGGTAGATTATTTAACCTTGCTGAGCCTCAGTTTCATCACCTGTAAGGGTCATAGTGCTACCTAATAAAGTTTCTGAGAAATGAGTTGAATGCATAAAAAGTGCCGAGAGGAGTGCCTGGCATAGAACAGTGCCTGGTTATATTTAGCTACTGATGTTATCATCACCTCCCCAAGGGCTGGGCCCCGCCTCCTTCACCCAGCTTTATCCACAGCAAAGCCCAGTGCTGTCTATGCACTCAGGAGGGCTCAGGATAGACGTGCTGAACTGGTGAATGGATGTCCCAAGTACCACTCCCTCCCAGGTCCACCTACCATCAAGTTGGGCCACCCCTCACCTGCAGGTCATGGGTCACCTCCACCACACCCTTGGGCAGGGAGATGGCGACGGCCTTCTTCTGCATCTTCCCCATCCAGATCTTCAGCTGCTCTTTGGTCAGCAATTTTTCGAGGCGCTCAAGGGGCTCCACGTGGTGGGGCATGAGGATGATGAGGCTGGAAAGCTTGTGGGCTAAGGGCATCTCTACAATTTGCAGTTTCTCTTTCTCATCGTCATAGTAGTTGTAGAGGCCTAAAAGAGAGGTGGAGAGGGCACTGGGCACACTGTGGGGCAGGGGCGGGCCAGGCCCCAGCTCCCTCGGGCCCCGCCATTGGTGGCCGCTCCACAGGCACTTACCTGTCCGGTGCATCATCGTGACACCCACGGTATAGGAGCGGGTCACCATGAAGCCACGGTTGTCTACCATCTTGTGGTGGAATTTCTCATCCCAGTGTGCTATAGTAAGAAAAAGCAGGATATACAAGGTCAAAAATACATGTCCCCCACCCCCAAATCACCATCACCACTGCATACCCTGGCTTTATCCCTGACACAAGTCTCTGTTTCAGTCTTCAGAGCTCACCTACGCCTACATCGCCCCCCCCCCTTAGCGCCCAGCCCACAGAGTACATGTGCTTGCTTTGGGGGTTGTCGGAGGGTGTTGGCCCTAACCATGCTGCCTGAAGGTACCACTCTCCAAGTCAGGCCTGAGTATCCCCAAAGACAAGGGATTCCTTCAGGAGGACCCCCTCAGCTCAGACCCTGCCACCTCTACCCTCGGCCCTGGTGCCTATTAAATATTCAGGCATGCATGCTGAGCTGGAGTTCTCTCTGTCCTCCACCCCCTACTAACTGAGAGGTCTGTGTCCTGGGGAGACAGAGTCCTGAGGTCATCCTTAATTCTTGTCCACAAGTCATGTCTTGGTGGCCAGAAAAAAAAACGCAATAAAAAAAAACCCTATAGATGTGTGACATTGGCCTGTGTGACACTGGCCTGTGCCCAGCCCTATGGAAAGATCTGCATTCAAGTCTAGCCTTGGCTGCTGACTGGCTGAGAGATTTTCAGCCCTCCCTCCTAGCCTTTACCTTCGCAAACAGGGTTTCCTCATCCTCACAGCACTCTGTGGAACACTCCACAGAGTATTCGAACGTGCTCCTTAACCTCCAAGTGAATCTTCAGTGCAATACCTGCACTTGAGCCCTGGCTCTGCTACCCGCTAGCTGGGCCTCAGTTTCTCTACCTGTGCGATGGGGAGAACTGCTCTGAGGATCAGGCAAGCTCACAAACCTGGCCAAACTGATTTAATTTGTTGCTTCCAAGACAAGCAAAGGCACTCTGATGTGCTGAAACTAGACGGAACAAACGCTCTGGAGACCCTCTGCCAGGCTTGACTCCTTGAATACCTCGCTACACCTCTTTGGACCTAGTTTCTAGGCTATATAAAGGGCTTCACTGCACTGCTTGCCGCCACCGGTTCTTACGAAGACTAAACCACCGTGCTGCACCAGGATCCAGACTCTTGCAGGGGGCGGGGAGGTCTCCGAAGCATCGCGCCCGCCCAGCCCCTCGGGACTCACGCTTGAAGAACATGGCGTTGACCAGCAGGGCGCCGTCGGTGCGCTCCACGTCCTTGGTGACCTCGGGCAGCTTGCCGTCGGTGGTCTGCGCCGCCCACTCATTGATGGACTGCAGAGCGCTGCGCTTGTCGCGGAAGTTGATCTTGGAGTGCTCGCAGTTATAGTGCTGCTTGCTGCTGCGCACGAAGTCGTCGGCGAAACTCACCGAGCTGGGCCCGTACAGCCGGCTGCCCAGTTTCCAGGTCACGTTGCGCGCGGTGCTGTTGCTGAGCGAGCGGAGCAGTTCACCCAGGCCCGCATGCACCTCCTCATCCCGCAGCTGCTCGGCACTCAGCACCGCCTTGGCCTGCGAAGCCGTGGCCGCCTTGCCGCCCAGCGAAACGAGCCCCAGCGAGGAGGCCACCACCACTGGTGACAGCAGGATGTTCTCCACCGCCTGGTCCTTGGCCATCGCCTGATACAGGCTGAAGGCCAGGCCTGCACTGCGCTCAGCCAAGGTGGCCGCCTTGGGGCTCAGCTTTTCCGAGGGGCCAGAGGTCGCTGGTTTCTTTACCTCCGCGGCAAGGGCTGCCGCCAGGAGGCAGGAGGTGATAAGCAGGAGGCAGCGCATGGCTGGGAGGTGGGGTGTGTGGACCACAGAGGACCTGTGTGGGTTGCAGAGAGGGGGTCACCCTGAAGTTCTGGGTCTTCCTCCCAACCACCATCCCAGCCTTCTGGTTACCACCAAATCCCCTGGAGATCGGAACAAGAGAACCTGGAGTTCTAGGGAGCCCAGACCAAACTTGGGGTTGCAATATTGGGGGGGCCTATCCATTCTCTGAGGCTTCCCGTGACCACCTAATTCAAAGCAGAATTCCTGGCAAGTCACCATCCCACCCTATTGATTCCTTGCATTGAACTTACACTTACACTTGTGTTTATTGTGTATTTTTTCTGCCCCTAACTAGTTTGTGACCTCCAGGACAGGAAACCCAACCAGTCTGGTTACTCTCTTATATTCCCAGTACCCAGCGCATTAAGAGGCCTCAGCTGTTCCTAAGTGAACAGAAACCAGGGCCGCATGGCCATACCGGGGTTTGTACAGAGGTTCGCTCTGTTTCCATACAACCCTGGGGACCAGTGGGCGAGAGGCAGATGGGCTGAGGGTCTGCAGAAAGTGCAGGCGCCTGGGAAAAGGATGTCACGTGGGACAGAGCTATACAGGCCTGCTTCCCCCTCCCTTTCATTCTGTTCTGGGATGTTAATGAGTCACTGGCTTGGTTCACTCATTAAATGCTCCACTCTGCTGCCGCAATGGTGACCTTGAGTGTGAGTGTGTGTGTTCACCACTCTGAGCCTCAGTCTCCCTTTTTCAAGTCGTAAGCGCATAGGCCTCTGTGACCCTGGAGACTTATCTTGGCAGGCACATGCCCATCGCCCACAGCCCCTGCAGCAGATGGGAAATCCCCTAGACAAAATCTGGGGAGAGGTGGGAGGTTTCCTGAGAGGAAGGATACTGGGGGGAGGGGTAAATCATAGCTCAACAGAACAGCCAACTCGTCCCTCACCAGAGGCCAGCCAGGTGCGTGTTTAGCCTCCCTGAAAGCTGGGGCCATAACAGATTCCATTCTTCCCTCCCATCTGACATCTGCTGCCACAGAGGCCATCTATCCTCAAGGTCGTCCTCAGCCCCCTCCCAAACCTCTGCAGTAACAGTGGTCCTTGGGACAAGCCGCATGCCCCCACCTTCAGATCATGCAGCAAGAGAGAGGAAGGGACACACAGCAAAGGGCAGGGTTGAAGGAAGCCTGGCAGAGCCTGGATCCCACTGCTCTGGCGCAGCCTCTCTCCCAATCCTCCTCCAGGAAGACCCTGAGGGTTCAACTGTCGTGGGAACACTGGCCGTCTGGGATGAGCACGGGATGAGCACGCTGCAGCCAGCCTGAGCCCAGGAAGGACCCTCCACCATCCCCCAGCCCCATTCCCTGGGCTGCCACCTCCTGGAAGGTGCAGTGAAAGGGAGAAGCAAAGTGTGCATGAGGAGGGAGAGGTGTGGGGAGACCACTGAGATGCACAGATGTCCCAGAGGGATGGTTCACCGGGGATCTGTTCCTTAGAGTACGAGAGATGGGCAAGAGTTACCCCAACATACAGGTTGGGGTGGGATGTTTCAGGGTCTAGGCCACTTTCCTTGCAGTCCTGGCTCCTCCTCCCCTAGACACAGATCCTGAAAAGCAGAGTGACCATAAAATGTATTGTACTAAAAAGGTCACTAGAAGAGAAAAAAAAAGGCGGCACCACTAATTATGCCAAGACAGCAGGCATATATGGTCATCCTGTTCAAAGGCCGCCTCTAGTTCACACAACTGATGCCAGCGCTCAGACCCTGCAAAGGCCACCAGCATCCTCTTGGGAGACACAGAGTCCAGCTCACAGGCCTGCCACGTGGCAGACACCATCTTGACAGCCACCGCCCCCAGCCAGCCAGCCAGCACCTCGGAGGGCTGGGAGGAGCTTTTCCAAGAAAGCTCTAAATGACTAGTTTGGGATTCCGCAGGCAGCCACATAGCTGCGCTCCTGCTTGCTCTGTCCTGGTGACGTGGCAGGCTAGAAACGGAATTAGCAGAAAGGGGCTTCCAGCTAGGGAGCAGGAGGCCTGCATTCAGGACTCAGGGGTGGCAAAGAGCCTCCCTGGCCTTAGCATTGGATCTGCCCATTGGTCTCTGAAGGGAGATGCTCAGCTCTGGAGAAGGGCTGCTCTGTTAATCCAGCAGCAGAAACGAGAAAGACAAGTTACTGCAAGCAAGCCAGCCTCCCACAGCCCTGCCCATGTTGCCACAGAGAAATCCCAGCCCTTAGGCCGGGGAGAGATGGTTTACAGACCCACAAAGATAAACACTTGATCCGAGAAGCCAGGGGCTGTGCCCAAAGCTAACCAGGCTGTGTTGAGACCGGATTCTGGGCTTTTGTCAGAGGGAAGAGAAGAAGCAGATGCTGGAGTGTGGGGGACTGCCAGAGAGGGCCTCACACACTTGGGGGAGTCTAAAATACCTTGAAACTGCCTCAGGGGGAGGTCAATGCCTGCCTTTTTCATTCTGAAAGAAAACAGAAGAGTGAGGAGGATGGGCAGAGGAGGTGGTGAGAAGCGGCCCTGAAGGCCTGACCCCCAAGTGGAACCCGCTCTACCTTGTCCCTGGCACAGGAGGCATAACCAGTCCCAAAACTTCAAGGACGCCCTACTACAGAGACCTTGGGGGACACCCTACTCGGTACAGTGGGAGAAACTGAGGCCAGAGAGCGGCAGGGAAGCCACCTCAGACCCCACAGGGACCATGGGGGGTCAGACCTCTCTGCACAAGGTTCTTTCCTCTACAAGACCCACAGAGCCCCGGCGGAGGGCTAGAAATCCTATCCTGTACAAACAGCACAAAGCACTTCTGCTAGGAATCCCGGTGACCAGAGACAAAGGGAGGGGGTTGGGAAGTCTCAGGAAGGCGGGGATGGGCGATGAAGCAGCAGGGAAAAGGAGGGTGTGGTCCCAGCCTGAGATTTCCAGGGAACCAAAGCCCCCTAATTTTCCCATACCTCCATCCGGGCCTTGCAGCCCAGAGGGGACCAGCCGGAAGCCAGGGAAGAGGAGAGGCAAACCGCAGGCCATGCTGGAAGTGGCCTGGGTTCTTTTTCCTCCACTCCAGTGGCTCAGGAATGTCCCTAAGCTGGGGGGCAGGAAACCCCCGCCTCTGGTAGAAGCCTAACTCTGTAGTTACTCCAGGAACCAGGTAGCAGTAAACAGATGAGGGTGGGTGACTCAGTGTTCTAGTTATTTCTTCCTTCCCCCAGCCCTGGGAGGAGATGGAGACCCTGCTGAGTCTGCTTATCCTTGGAAGGAGGTGGAAGGGGCTAGGGCTGGTCAAATCCCGCTTTTAGAGGCCATCACCTACACAAACTGGCTTCTGACCAGAAATGAAGCCACCCTGTTGACTCCTTCCAAACCAAGGGGACCCCAGGAACCAAGATCCCACATCCCTGGAAAATTCAAGACTATTATTTCACTTCTTCCACCCCCCCTAACTTCAGGACACCCATCTAACCCCAACAAGCTTCTGAGGAGACTGATCCATCAATCCTTGCTGATCCTTAAGCCTCAACCCCAGAAAAGGAGGTGCCCCCCACCAATAATCAAGCTAGCTTGGCCTCCCCAACCCTGCTGAAGGGTCTCTAGACGCCATCTCCTCTCCCGTGGCTCCTAGTTCCCGCAGAAGGTGGAGTCTCAGCATCCCTGCCCCTAGTATAGTGTTTCTTCTCTGCCATCACTTGTGGGGCGCCCCGCAGGTCTTTCGGACCGGACCTTCGATTGCCCGGCTTCCTGGGCTTGCCATCTGCCCTAACCCTCAAGCTCACTCTGCCACCGCCATCCAGCCCCGAGTTCTTGACCCCGAGCCCTCTTGCTGCTCCCAGTGCCAGGGACTTATATTTGTGGTCTCTACGTTGGTCCCTATTCCCTCCGGGGGCTGCCGCCCCCTTGACCCCCTGAAGCACCCCGCAAAGGGCCCGCTGCGCTCAAGCCGAGCCCGCCCCTTACCTGGGCCGGTCGGGCAGGCGCCGGGACCGCAGTCTCGGACTCTAGCAGCCGACGGATTCCACTCTCGCCTCTCCCCGACTCTCCAGACCTATATATGGCTTCCACCCCCCACCTCCCGCTTGTCCCGAGAAACTTCTGGAAAGTTGGAAAAGCTTCCGGAGGGCGCCCCGGCTCAACCAAAAAAAGCCAAAGACCTCCTCCAAACCGCCCAGGTTCCCGCCCCCTCCCTCTCGAGCGTCCTCCCGGCCCCTGGGTCCTACTGCCCCCCTGTTCCGAGGGCGCGGCGGGGAGCCCCAGCCGGGAGACCCGGCCTTCGGTGGGACTAGCACGCGAGGTCCAGAGTCGGGGCGTGATTAGGCGCCGCGGAGACTTAGGGCCTTGTGGCCCGGGAGGTGCGGGAAACGGAGCGTTCAGATCACTGAGAAGAGGGGGCACCCAGCACTCGGGCCCAATTCCTAGGATAAGAGTCCCCCTACTGCACCCCCCAGCCTGCCCCTAAAATACAAACCAGCCTGCCCCTAAAATACATTCCTGCAGCAACAGAGCGGCTCCTGCTTTGCTGTGGTTCTGCCGGCAGTGGGTCGGTTTTCGATTTTCAGGCTGAAACTTAGCTGGGTTCCCCCTGCAAGCCCCCTCCTCTGTCGGGGCAGGAGGGGCAGGAGGGGGACGGTGGGGGCTGCTGTTCTTGGTCTCAGGGAGATGGTCAGAGTTAAGAGGCAGTTTATCCTGAACACCTAAACCAACCTCAGTGACCGCCCTCGGGGCGGAATGGGGCCAGACCAAGAACCTGACCTTCCCCCTACAAGTGTTGGCCTGGGGAACTGAGGAGCTTCCGTTGGTCTGCCTGGACCTGTAATTGTCCTAAGTAACATAGGTGTCCGCTAAGTAATCACACTGTGTGACCCTAAGCAAATGCGGTTCCTTTGCTGGGCCTCTGCTCCATGGGCTGTGAAGTGTGCTAAGTCATTCCTTGTTTCCTTCCTCTGTCTTTTTCTCTCTCCTTGCTCACCCCTACCGGCCTGTCTCCCAGGTTGGGTCCCCTCCCACAGGGAGCCTATCTCACCCTCAACCCTTCTCACATCGTCCTCCCACAACTGATAGCCCTTAGCTCTGAGCTAAGATGAGTTACTCATTTCTGTTCTAGATGCTGAAGGCGCAGCTTACAGGACAAAGTCCCTGTGCTCAGAGACGCACCTTCTGAGGGGATAGCGCGTGCTAGTCGAGAACTCAGGAAGACAAAATATTACTTGCAACAACCCTGTTCCCCCTAAAATCTTTAATAATGAAATGATAGATGATAGATGCGCACAGTATGGAGAAGAAGGGACATGGTAGTGGCCCTCCCTGGTGGCATAGCGGGTTAAAACACAGCACTGAAGAGCCACAGAGGCTTTAGTGCCACTTTGATCCTGGCCCCAGAGGTGACCCACATGGCGCGGCAGACCTCTCCTGACCCGCCCGCTGCTGCCCTCAGCAGTGTACTTCGTCAGTCTGCCTGTTCTGCTCCCTACTCTGTCTCTGGTGATTCCTTTCCCTGACCCTGCACCTCTGGCCCATACCCCAGTTCTGTATGCATAAATAAATAACTCTTTTTTTTTAAAGGGGGATGGAGGACAAAGTAGAGAGACACTTTTTTCATTCACTTAGCCCTTCAATCAGAAAACTATTGAGTATTATCTTTCTTCTAGGTGCCTCCCTGGAGTAAAAGAATCCCAGCACCCAGCAAATGAATCATCTGAGTCCCTGGCAGTAGAGGTGGGAGTGGACCCTTTCCGGGTACCGCATCCTGGTGGTGATGGCTTCTCTGTCTGGGTTAGGGTCCTGCTGTTCAAAATCTGCTTGCATTCTTATAAGTTGCAAATGGGAAATCTGAGATGCCCAAAGCTAATAGACTCTTTGATTCAGGGTCAAAGAATCAAAGGGTACTTGAATCCTAAAGTCATCATCATAAAACACTATTATCTTCCTGGAAACTTCTTGGAATCTTTGAATCCATCTAAAGAATCTTAGAATGTTAGCTCTCAGCCTCAAGGAATTTTTGAATAAAAGCATTGAGGAAGATACAGCAAGGTATCTCAGAGGCCCTGGATTCCTGTTTGCACCTACTTCTCAGCAGTACCTGCCAAAAGGCAAGATCCCAGGCACCTCCAAGAGCTGGGATCTCCCCTCCTATGGGGGCTGCCCAGATATCTTTCTTGGGATACTTCTGGTCATTAACAAGCTCTTGTAACCTTGAGTGGAAAATCTCTTGGGTGTTGTCCATCTCTTTGGGGTGGCTGTCTTGGTTCTTGTGCCTAAGGACTTTTTAGTTCTTGCTGTGGAGGAAGCTGCCAGAGTTCCATGCAAACCCCACCCTCCACCTCATTCCCTACCTCCAGCTAAGCCCTCAGATGGTGATTGGTCAATGAACTGACGGTCTGTCAAAGCTGGAGGAAGAAGGAGAAGTTCACCTGGGTCCCAGTCCCAAAAAGACAGCCTTTCCTCCACTCTCTTCCATCTCCTTTGGGGTGAGCTGAGTGCCGTGACTGTCAGTGACCGCCAGTGACCGCCCTGAGAGGGAAGGGTAAACTGAGGCTCCTGCTTTTAGATAAACCCACCACCCTAGAAGGTCTGAGCAGAAAAGACCTATGTCTGGCATTTCCAAGCAGGGAAGCTGAGGCCTAGGGTAGGGGCTGTGTCTGAAAACCCTCTGCCAACCCCTCCAGACCCCTGCTGTAGCATCGCTTGAGTCAAGAAGTCTCCACATCTTGTTGTGCTACGTTATCTCTGTCCTCAGCCTTTATTGCCACTGAATGTCACTGGAGGTTTTGGAACTCTGACTCCCCAGAGCCAACACAGGGCATGCCCAGAAGAGGCACTTGGAAAGTCTGGCCAGTGCGTGAGTGACGGGAAGTGGCTGACTGAGTGTGGGCTCCCAGCGTGGCCCCCTTTGGAAAGAAAGGTAAGGGCTCCTTTAAATTTCCAAGATCAGGAAAAAAATGTCAAGAGCCTTTGCCACAGTATTCTTAGCTGTGAACCCAACCCAGACACAGCTGACTCTAGCCCTTCCCCCATAGTCCCAGGGTGCAGTTTCTAGAAGAAGCATGCTTTTTTAAAGTGGGGGAAGACTGACATGCAGAGAAAACTCTCCAGCATTTCATGTCTGGATTCTCCCAGTGCCTTGGCTCACTCCCCAAAATGCTCCTGCCCCCGCCTCTCCCCCACTAGGGCCACAGCTGGAAATCCTCTAGGTCCCAAGAGGTGTTAGCAGCAGGAAATAGAAAGCCATCCAGTTCAACTGCATCCACACTATCCAACACAACTGTACTGACAGAGGAAAGCAGGCCCAGAGAGGGACAGGGATCTGCCCAAGGTCACACATCAAGTCAGAGATGCAGCTGAGCCAGATCACAAATCCTGGATTCCCAGCCCCCTCTTCCCTCATACCACCCTCTCCTGACCCAGCCAGGAAGGCAGGCCCAGTTCAGCCAGGTATTACAGAAACAGCTTTCCTGGGCCCTGGAACTAGACCCA